CTCGTACGCACAACTTAAGAACAAATCTGTGCGTACGAACGGTTCTTGCATGAGGCCCAATAAACCTTATTGGTGACCCATCATATCTAAATAAGGATTAAGTCAAATTTGGTCAAAATGACCTAATGACATTTTCAGATTCCTGGCTTTAAAAGCAACATTTTGATACCTACATCATTCTGATATAATAAGGTTATCCAGAGATATGATTTAATTTGTCTTGTTGGTTACAATACATACAATAATACATTATTGTTTAGTCTGAATTCTAATTTTATGTGAATTTATTGAGTAAATTTTGATATCAATATAAAGAAGAAACCTCAAATAATGTTTGTATATTAAGAGTTCCTAGTTGGAAAAAAACAAAAACTTTGCTAGCTCACAGGGACAAATTAAAAAATTTAAGACGTTTTTCCTCAAAATCAGTTTTTTTGTTCCTACTGCTCAAAAAATGCTTCAAAAATTTTTTTAGGCTTATATTTAAGACAGTTCATTCAAATGATACATTGATAAGACATTAATTCATTATATTTTGACAAAATGTTGTTTTTGCACACGTTTAAATCAAAAACCTATATCTGCCTATTTCTCCACTTTCCACTTTTGGACTTAATCCTTGTTTCAATGTGATGGAGTCAAAAGTAATATTCAAAATAACTTTTAAAGAAAATAGTTAAGTTTGTTCAGTTGCGGAACATAACTTTAGTTTAAAGAGGTCATCTCAGAAGAGGGGTCATTCATGTCAGTGGGTTTAAGAGGATATTATGTATGTTGGAATTTCAGGCTGTAGCTGCATTAGTAGTCATCAGTCTATTCACAAACTTGCTAGTTTCTTTTATGCAGTTGTTTCCATGTAAAGACAAAGCTGACAAATCTAAAGCATGCTCACTTTGAGTCATTCAAGTGTCCAGGCAAAAGTTTAAATTCTGTGAGCCCTTGAAATAGTGTCATCAGACAATAGAGGAACTTTCAGTGTTTAAAAAAGCATCACCTGCAGCACTTCTTTTGCGTCTTTCATCTTGACAGGCGTAGTTTGGGGCACAGGGGGACATTTGGTTGGCTTCATTTTGGCTCGCTCAGTCTGTGCATTGGTGAAGTAGTTGACAGCAGCAAACTCAATGAGGGCAGAGAAGACAAAGGTGAAGCAGACGGCGATGAACCAGTCCATCGCCGTTGCATACGAGACCTTGGGGAGAGAGTGGCGAGCACTGATGCTGAGTGTCGTCATGGTCAGGACAGTGGTGATGCCTTAAAATGAGAGACCAAGAAAGATGCAAATTTATCGGGCAGATGAGCTCATTACAAAAGGTAAGATTAGTTCAAACTGTTAAGAAATGTAAACACACCAATCTTTGTCTTTTTTTGTGAGAAAATGTTCAACGTTAAAATGTCAGTCAACAAGGTACACAGAAAATTCTTAAAACTTCACAAATTGTGCTATATTGCCAAAAAGAAAATAAGTAGGTCCTCTGGACAGGTTGTTCTTTAACGAAACATTTCGTCTCTCCTCCATGAGACTTCTTCAATCTGAGGAGTTTCAGGTGAACAAAGCCTTAAGCATTGGAATTATACATGTTTGAAGGAGAAAAACAACAACAGAAGCTTTGTTTTATTTGATCATATCAGCAAAATAGCAGCCCTTGAGAACATGATCTTTCCCAGAGGAGAGGAGAGGCAAGGAAAGTTTTATTTTTTTAATAGCTCTCAGCAAGAGCTGAAACAGTTCAGTCTGGGAGAGGAGTGCTTTGACCTCAGGCAGTCAAAGATCAACCAGAGGTGAGATGAGTTGAGGTGAAAAGGGCATAACACCACACCTGTTTGGTCCCCTTTTCTGCTCCTCCACGCTGTCACAGACGCTACCAGTGGATGGTATGGGCGGGGATCTGTCTAGTGATCTATATTCAAGTCTATGAGAAAATACACAAACACCACCATCTACACTCTAAAAATGAAATGTTGGATTTACTTAACCATGTTATGTGACCTGGTTCCACTTAACTGAGATGAGTAAAGTCAAAGCAACATACTCATGTTCTTTGGCTAAAAAACTGGTATATTGCATTGAATTTACTCAACTCAGTTAAGTGGAACCAGGTAACATAACATGGTTAAGTAAATCCAACATTTCTTTTTTTACAGTGTATTGGTGTATTTATGTCACTCCCTTACACTAACAACAAAGCCCTTGCTTCAGTTGCAACGTGTTTCTTTGTTTTAAGCATTTTTTTCCTACAGTAGTCTAGACTGGGTTTTTGCTAACCACAGGCCATTTCTTTTTTTCCTTTTTTTTTGGTCTGTCTAGGCAAGAGAAAGCGGGTTGCAAATAAAGGAACAATCATTGGTCGCAGGAATGCAGGCAGAATATTAGCTGAACTGTGAAAAGCAGGACCAACACGTACAGCTTCCTCTAAATGAAGGACAGGAGGCAAGAAAGCAGGAGACGGCCTTATGCTGTGTTCACACCGAACGCGATTTCAGCTTCAAAATCGCAGCCAACGCTGAAGTTGATCGCTTGTGCACTTTGAGGTCAGACGCAGGTCAGCTCTTGAAGCGCTGCACGGCAACAGCCTCCCCGCCCCTCCCTCCTCTGTCGGGCTCTGTTTAATGTCGGACGAGGAAGTGGCTTTGCTTTATTTACAGAGAGCAAGAGCATGTCACGTTCATCAGATAATTAATTCATAATTAATTCACCAGATAATTCAGAGACATTCTGAGTTTCATCACCCAGGAGCTGAGGGAGAGGCTCACAGCTCGCTTTCAGGACTATTTTTGTCCCGAGTCCAGTCTGATTAGCCTCTGCCACGCATTGGTGCGGATATCTCCTGTCAGGACACCGACTGCAGGCACTCGATTTCAGCTAAAGAGCTCCTCTCCATCTGTTTCAGGTTAGTGGACATCATTTAGTAAACTGTCCCGTCGGGAAATATGTCGCTACGTCACACAGTGGAGTCTCTCTGATTGGTTGACGCGGCGCGTCGAGCTGCAAAAGTTCAGATTTTCTAACATCAGCGATTTGCACCTCAGCGCGTCGAACGCTCAGATCGTTCAAATCGCGCTGCTCTAATCGCGCTTGAGGCGCCGCAGCACTTCCCGACGTTGCTTGAAGCGCGTCCACCATAGACTTTGCATTTAAACCTGATGCTCCTGATGCTGAAATCGCATTTGGTGTGAACGCACCATTATAGAGGGAGGAGATACAACAGACTGCTGCCTTCAGTCAGGCCTTACTTGGGGTGTTGGGGGACATTGCACATGCTATGACCCACAGAAATGTGTGACTAGATAGATAATTCATACACTACATTTTTGTTTTTACGATAAAAAGGTTTTCTTAGGTCCTTGCATCGTCATTTGCATTAAGAAGGTACAGTGATTTCCCATTTTCTTCTTCTGCCTGCTCTGACTTCCATTCAGAAGAGCTGTTTATGTTAATGAGCTCTGTTGGTAACACCCTCCAAAAATCTGTTGACATTAACTCTGCCCTCCAAAGCCAACGTTTACGTTAGCATGGCTAATAATAGCAGAAGCTCCATTGTACAACCATATGAGACCCTGAGTGAGACCCAGAGGCAGAGTCGTGGTCGCAGCTTCTTTTTTTTTCTCTCCCTCTGCTCTGCCCTCACTCTGCGCTCTGTTACCAGAGCAGGGAGCAGCAGCGGTCAAAATACCTCAGAAACTCGAACAAAACGTGTTCATAACGAACGAAAATAAATAATTAAATTGTGTCCATGCCAGTCTCAAACCCTGGTCTCCTACTCTCTGGTCCAACACTCTACCCATTGCCCTATCAGAAGGCCTGTTCTGAAATGAGTACACATTGCACAACAACAACTGTGACGGCTTTTTATACTGAGGAGGTGGAGTTTCACCCAGGGGTTGCTGGGTGAGGGGCTGATCGCAGGTTCCAGTGGGTTGTCGTACGGCTTGTGACATCACAAAATGACGGAAGTATAATACTTGTCGTTAATATACATTAAAAATACATTTACTTACAGTAAATACGCCCCTGGGTGCATTTTTTGGTCCTAGGACTGTTTTTTTAAGAAGTACATACCCAAAGTTGAGTAAAAAAAAACTTTAAAAAGTGAATTTTGCATAATAGGTCCTCTTTAAGAAAGGATAACAGCATACTTTCTTTACTTTAACATTTAAAGTCTTCAATAAATAATAAGTACTTGATAATTTATTACAGAGTTTAAAGACTGACAGCTGTCAATATTTTGACACAAATCAATATTTTTTCACAGGCTGGTTAGGGATGTTTTGACCGAGCCCTGTTGTTACACATCCTTTCACATGTATGACGTTCAAATTTCGTGCATCTAGCATTTTCCTTTCTCAAGTTATGACTAAAATTAATCGTAAAAAATTTTACTTCCTGCCCGACTCGACCAAGCTACTCCTCGCCATTGCTCCCCGCTGCCTCCAGCCTCAAACCCCACCGTCAATCCGACCAATCACATATCAGGCCATCTCCGCCCACATCAAGACCTCGGCCATTGACGATTTGGGCCGTCTCCGCCCACAGAAAAACACGTTCTGTAGAGACCCCTACTTGCAGAGACCCTTACTCGTCATTTCAGTCAGTTCAGCTCAATTTGCAATTTTTGGCCACAGCAATGGCTTGTAAGCACATTAATGCACAAATTTGTGATTGCATTAAATATGTCAAATGGAACAAGATTATGTAGATCATTCCTAGAGGTACACAGAAGAAAATCTTTCTATTTCTATTTGCTTATAGGCCTGATTTTGCTAGAAATCATTTGTAGAAATGGGAATGAAAAAAGTGTAAGAAGTGGGAGTGTGTCATGTCTACGTACCAAAGACTGTCCGTGCCGGGACCGATTCTTTATTTATCCAGAAGGACACTTGAGAGAGGATTACTGTCATGATGCAGGGGATATATGTCTGAATCATGAAGTAACCTAGTTTACGTTTTAAGTGGAAGTGAACCGTCATCACCACATATTCACCTGCAGGGTTGGCAGAAAAAAAAGTTAATGAATCAACTACAATGAACAGTTCACAGTTGCAAGCTAGTAGATATTTTTTAATACAGTAAAAAACAGATGTCACTTTTGTTCAGGTCTTTACATAATATCATAGTTTATGAATTTCATCTATTTTGAGACTTGCTGTGTTTTCTGTTTTTCTGCTGCAAAAAAAAATTCAGTTTTCGAATCCTTCAGGTTTAAGGAGAGCCACTGGATCTAAGAAATGACCCAATTCATGGTGTTTACTTCATGGGGCTGTTGCTGTGCTGGTCATGCTTCAACAAACAATCTGTCATGTTTGTGCAAGTGTCAAAGCTCCAAATCCCTCCAATGTTACCAGTGAAGCTGCATCCATACAGTAACGCCACAATTATTTGTGTGGAAAACTAAGGGTAGAAATGTGTAAAAAAAATCTTTAACATTTTTTGTTTTATTGCTTGAGAGCAGAGTTGTAAATAACTAAGTACAAATACTTTGTTACTGTACTTCAGTACAAATTTTGGTTATCTGTACTTTACTTGAGTAAATATTTTTCAGCCTACTTCGACTGTATGTAAGGACATTTTCATGCAATTATCTGTACTTTCTACTCCTTACATTTTAAAAAAGACAAGAAATAGAAAGTTGTTACATTTAGTTCATTTTTGCTTGTTTTCATTCGGTTTGTTATTAAAAGAAATACTGTAAATACAAACTGTGCCTCCTGGATAGAGTGAATCTAATTGTGGTTGAATGAGACATATTCAGTAGATATAACGTTTTGACACCGTATAAGTTTGTACACAGTCCATCACAGCTGCACAACACAAATCATGTCACACTCCAGCAGCAGATCAGACTTATGTAGCCTGAACATGTATGTGGTATATACATATAAATATATACGGTATATACCTGAAACAGCTACATTAGTGCATCCTAAACCACTCATTTTTAATCAATACTTTTACTTCTATTTCTTAAGTACATTTTATGTTAGAAATTTACTTTTGACACTCAAGTACAAAAAATGTCAGATACTTTAAAACTTTTACTCAAGTAATATTCTTAGAGACTTTAAGTTTTACCAAGGTAATTTTATGTTAAGTTACTTGTACTTTTACTCAAGTATCACTTTGTGGTATTTTATACAACACTGCTTAAGACCCTGCCACACTATATTATAACATTATAGCCAACTCATGACGACATTTGTAAACAGGCTGATGTAAGTTGTGTAACTTAAATGTAATTTAAGAATATTTTACCTAATCTATAATGGCCAGATGATTATTTTATACAGGGACAGGGCAGGTTTTTCACTGTCTGTTGTTGCAATAAAACTCAGCTGATCATTCCACAGAGTACCTTCATTCTTGGACCACGTATTTCTGTCTTTGTTAAATAAATATTGCCATAACAGTTGGCGTTGTCACAGGCAGACCACTAGGAGATCGACGGACCAAGGCCACATTGCAGGTGGACTGATGTGAGTGAGCAAGGACTGGACTGTTCAGGACCGTTTCTCCAGCTGGATGAAAAGAATCTTTTTATGGTAAATTGTTTTAACAACAGAGATACGCTGGTGATGATTGTGATGGATGATCTTGAATAAYAAAAYAACKTTGYATTTTTATTTTTGGCTGTTGAAGAACCTGAGAAGATTTTTGAAACATCATCTGCTGAGAGTGAGTACAGAAAAGCTTCAAGATGCCTCCTTACTTTTCCAAAGAGGATTTCTGCCAGCTTCTCCAAAAGGTGACGGTGTTGGAGCTCAAGATTCATCGTCTGGAAGAGATGAATGCTTTGGAGAACTCAACATGTGTCAAAATGGGTGAGAAGGCTGAGAGGAGAGATCCACAGGACAAGGAGATGGAAGCTGATTCTGAGAGTAAAACTGTATGGAACTCTCTTTGCGCCAGACAAAAAAATCTCTCAGGAAGGATTCAGCTCTTAGATGACAACGAATGGCCAGAGATACAGAGAAATGATTTTTCTCCACCAGCAAGGAGAAGGAAGCAACAGGCTGTAATCAAAACAACTGATAACAGTTAGAGAAATAAAGCAGTGTTTCTTCAAAACAGATTCACACCACTGGAAGAAGCTGGTGAGTCTGAACAAAGTTCATCTGCTGAGCTCAGAGAGGGATCTGGGACCAGATCTAGATCCAGCCCAAAGCCAATGCAAGTCAAAAAAGAGACTTTCAAGAATCAAGAAATGCTGATCATCACAGATAAAATGGTGAATGAGATCAGAGGCTTCTGGAACAAGAAAAAAGTCAAAGTTCTGAGTTTTGCTGATAAAGTGTCTGACCTCACAGAGAAGATTCTGCAAATAACAGCTGAGTATCCATCTCTGAAGACACTCATCATTCATACAGGAAGTGATGAAGTTATGAACCGACAGTCAGAAATCCTGAAGAAGGATTTTATTCTGCTGCTGAATGCAGTTAAAAATCTCAACATGGATGTGTTCCTCAGTGGGCCCGTTCCTGCAGCCAAAGGAGGAGCTGAGAGGTTCAGCAGACTGTTGGCTCTTAATGGTTTTTTGGAAAAGTCCTGTGTTGACCACTCTGTGAATTTTGTGGATAACTTTGATCTCTTCTGGGAGAGAAAACATATTTTCAAGTCTGATGGAATGACTCTGAATCAAACTGGAGCACAGCTTCTGGCTTCAAACATGAAGTATTTCCTGAACAAAGTTCCGGCTGGAAACAAACAACAGGACAAACCACAACAGCTGACGTCTGAAGGACAGCTGGAGAAAACTGAGATATCAGTGGAACACAGTGTGCCAGTTACTGATAAGAAGACTGCTTCAGAATCAGAACCAGAGAGAGAGGAGTTACTTCAAGCTGCAGAACCGGAAGAACAACTGTTTTCACCAGCCTCACAAACAGAGGATCTCTTGGACTCTGAGACCCCAGCAGGACAGCAATTGGAATGCCCCCTCCTGGATTTTACTAAAAACATGGGAGAACCTGCGGAGATTAAGATCCAACAAACATCACACCCAAATCCACGTAACTCTCCTCTTCAAGCCCCTCATACCAGCCTCTACAAAAAGATTTGCAGAGCCCCACCACCACCTCTGACCCTTCCATAAATGAAAACAGACAAGCCTGTTTGTGTTCAAGATGATCCAAAGACTTTTGTGTGATAACTATGTTTTGGGGTTYGTAATTACTGTGGGAGGAATAAAAATTGGATTACTGGGGTTGGGATTTCAGAAAAGTACATATTCTTGGGTTTATGTTGACATACATTTTTTAATACATTAAACAGTTTTTTTTTTGTTTTATTGATCATTTAATTGATTAGTGACTAATCAAGAGGAGGGGAGTTGTGGTGGAACTAATACTTTTAGGTTTAAGCCAGTAATTCATGACATCCTTTAATGACCTAGGTCTTCATGACATGCTGTTCATCTGCAGATAGAATGATTAAAGTCAGAACAAGATTTGCTAACAACAATCATTCTTAGATATCACTTGTGTTTATATTTGTGTTTTCCCTTGACCTTGTATCAAATCTTGCTAAGATGACATAATGGTGTTTGTTAATATATAGTATATGAGGCCTCTCGAGGGAGAGACAGTGACAGAGAGAAGCAGAGGCACAGAGACAGGCCAGGTTGTTCTCTGTGGTTCCTGTTGTTGCAATAAAACTCAGTTGATCATCTCACGGAGTACCGTCATTCTTGGACCACGTATTTCTGTCTTTGTTAAATAAATATTGCCATAACACATGCTCAAAAATTTCATCTTATGCTGATGCTAATAGTGAGGCAAAAATTATAGGTATGCTGTAATTTATGCAGTTTAAATATGTTACATAAGTTATTGTTTAGTTACTCATATGTGGACGTCTGTCTGAAACTAATGTGCTGGTAAGTTATTCTAAAATTAAAACTAACTTAAATCAGAGTGTTTGCTTTATTTTTTTATAAACTGATGTTGTACATCACTGACAACAAGTTGTGCAGAAGTTCTGCATCTGAGATGTTGACTTTTAGTTTGTTTTGAGATTATTTTGATTTGTTTTAATTGGTTTTATGTGTTTATTTTATTGTATAGTTTTAATTTTTTGATTTGGCTTTTATTATTTATTGTGACTGTTGTGTGTTTTATTGACTGTGACTGTACAGCATTTTGGTCCTGTGGTTGTTTAAGTGCTTTATAAATAAAGTTGGTATGGTATGGTTTGGTAAGTTACACTATTAATGCACTCTGCAAAATTACAAACAACTGTAATAAGCTTGTTTATGTCATGCATATGTTAGGCACATGTTATATATAAGTAACTCATATGTAATATATTTGTTCAAGTGGTAAGCAACACAGTAAGTACATGTCCAAATGAGGCTTCTAATTTTTCTTATTTTTCACTTCATTGTGTCCCAGCATTTTGGAGACACTCTGCATATGTTGTCTAAGACAGGGGTTCTTAACCTTTTGACCTTGGGGCCCAATTTGTTGAACATAAAGTGACACGAGGCCCAGTCAGACATTACCAATGTATGGATCAAAATGATAATTATTCTAAATCTTGGTTTAATTTTTATTGTATTTACATCATAACTAAACCATAACTAACATAACTTAAATAAATACACTTGCAGTTTAAAAGTGAAACACCTGTCAAATAATCACAAGACATGATTATGACAAACATTTTTATATTGTAACCTGCCCATAACAATTATTTGAAGAAATACTAAGGTCAGTCAACAGACCACTCAGGTTTATCCGTAAAAATATGTATATATAT